TAGACATGCAACATAGACTTTACTACGTCTACACACCTTTACATTATAGTTTTATACAGCAGTCGCATATGAGATTCCAAAAAATATGTTTACATGGAATGGATTCATACACCTAACTATCTCTCTCACTGCTGAAGTCCATATCACGGTCGGAGTACACTGCATTTATATGGAAATTTATTCAAAAACTTGTCGTATTTACACACATCGGGTAAATCTAAAAAGCCAGCAGTAGATCGACGCGAAAGTACATTTACAGCTTAACTTCCAATCATAAAAGGGGCCATAAATTAAGCCAAAAAGTCGCTTGGTCTCTGCTATAATTTTATTATAAATTATTAGATGCAGAGTGGATATGGTTAGGTCGAATACTTTCATTGGAGATCACGTTAAGCTTGCTTTACAATTTTAAAGAGGATAAAACTGTGACCTAATTTAGGCGCTTAAAAATAAGAAGTAAAAGATAACTAATGTGCAAAATATATTTATGTACTTCCTATACATTTTGTATATAAATATATAAAGTAAGAACGCTTAAAAGCTGCCGGATCACTTTAGATAGTAAGCTCGCCTGCATTGAATATTCTACCACACTAGGGATTTGAACCCGCGATCTTTGAATTGCTAATAGCACGCCTTTGCCTTTTCGGCTACTTAGGCGAATAGATGTTCAAAGAATGCATTTTTCGTTAGATTTTACTAATGAGATGTGCAAGTGTCTAATGGCCTTCACTGGCTAAGAAGCAAAACTGAAGACGTTTGAAAAAATGGGTCTTTGAAGATTTCAAAGTCATGTTTCTTAATTGAACTACAGTGAGAGGATATCAGCGGCCTTTAATCCTTCTTGCTTTTAATAAATTCTCTGAAATGCATAAAGCCCTTAACGAGATATTTATTAACACCGGGTCTATCGTTACTGGAAAATCTGACCGCATGTGTAGTGTGTTTTAGATGCTATTAAACTTTGTCTGTAATACATCTGGTCTTCAGACAATCTTTTCATGCAATTCGAGGCGAATGAGCCTACGAATTTTCGGCTTTTTCGGCCGGGATATCGGGATAGGTGGTGTCATCAGAATACAAATGCGAATTAAACTTTACTTCTCCTTAATGCTCTTTTAAAGACTGCTCTCAAGGGCAACGCAAGAAAGGGCCTGTTCTCCTTTTTTCTTGTTTCATAGTGTAGCCCCTGGCATATCTAGTATCACTCACTCCTTTTATTTTTTTTCATTCGCTATAAAAAAAGGAAAACAAAATTTATAGCGCTCACTAAAGACGACTACGCCTTGTTAAAGACGCAAGCAATCAGATATTATGTCCGTACTACAGCAAGTCTTGCCTTTTCTTCGGTACATGCGGCTTCCAGGCTCACGCGTGCATGGAGGTTAGCAGTGCATAAGGGATAATATTTTCCTAATTAAACGCATACCATAGCACTGGTTATGGTTATGGTTCTGCCCTTTTATAAACGCTAAGAAAGAGATCAAAGGGAAAACTGAGACGAAAGTTTTGGTTGCTTGCTAGCGGTGCGTGATCTGGTTTTTATAACCCACGTCACCTAAAGTGCAGAGTATATTAATTTTGTGCGGATGTACGTGACACCCAGAAGGACCTAAGATAGATCCACTTTCCATATATACCGATCGATTCGAAATCATATTGTTCGATGAATTTTTGAAATACTTTGATGAAATTTGCTGCACTAACGGGCTTTGATGGGAGGATAAACGCTATTGAATATAATTTGAATTGGTCTACTTAGTTTTTTAAATTTTTAATGCAACCCTATATATGCCAAAAAGGACCAATTCTTAAAGTTATATTTGACATAAAAATTAAGTGGACCAAATCTGAACTGTGTGTGTCTATTTTCTGGACTCCACTCTACGTATAACTTCACTTCATATTAGGCCCTTCAGAAAAGGGTTTAATTTTTGATATTTTGTGAGGAAAACTGGTTCGTAGCAGTAATTTAGCAAAAAAATTAACGGTAGGGAATTGGATCAGATAGGTCTATTTTTTACATCTCAACACTTACAGGGGTTATCATGAAAGCAAACCTTATATGGTACAATCGCAAAAATGACAGTATATTTAAAAAGTAAATTCAGAGTTTTAAGATTGCGATGTTTTAGAGATCCTCTAATATGGCTGGTGTTCATGAAAAGTATGCAAAGGCATGAAAATAACTTGTGGTTTTCGGTCTATTATTGATCGTTCTTTTCGTTGTTTCTTTTTGTATTTAAAACAAGGGTTTAAGTGTATTAGGTTAAGTGGTGTAGGGTATCCAATGGTCGGCCTTGCCTGACTATAGTGTTCTTACTTGTTAATTTGGAAAGTATATGTCTCAGGTCTAAATAAATTACATTTCATACAGAATCATAAATCTGCAGTGAATTTCCGGCAGATGTTATCACTGGTTGTCTGTCGGCTGGCTTCCATTGAAACTGGAATTTGTACCGATATTTGAACCATGTTTATACAGAAATGCGTGATCTAGCTTCGTTATATCCTACCCTACTTGTGTACATAAGGGTATACTAAGTTTGGGCGAATGTTTGCGACAGCTAGAAGGGCTTTTATTATACCGAACTAAGCTTTTCAGTCCGTCAGTTCTTTTTTTTTTTCTTGTGTTCAATCTGCAGGCAGCGCGGTTTGATGAAACGGTGATTACTTCATACATAACGCCGTATAACACCTTAGCTTATTTAATGTTGGGACAGGGTCTACCATAGTCTTTTTACTTCTTGATGTTGTATTTTCTAAAAGCGCAAAATGTCGTGTACGAGGTGAGCGCACAATTCGTATGAAGCTTGTTGCTTACGAAAGAATATTGAATAAAGTTGGATTTTCATCGACCGCAACTAGTGTACGTGAAGCATAAAAATCCAGATAGAATTCGGATAGAAGAGAAAAAAATTTTTTTTTGCACACTTCATAATTTTCGAGACATTGCGCGTTTAAAATATATATTATATCGCCTCGTCATCTGCTTCAAAGGTCCATTGCACATATGTTACCAAAATTCAGTTTTAATCCTTAAATAATTTTTTTTGTTTTTGAAAACAATTTCAAAAAGGTTTTCTTTCCCTCATATGCCAACAAGACCACTACTTGCATAAACCTGAATTTAAATTGAACTTCGATTTCGGATTCCGTGTAATATTTCGTAATTTTAACTTTTTATTTCAAAAAAAGCAAAAAAAAGAATTCCAATGTTTTCATCGCACTGCACTCACTCTATATATTATTTAATTATAATACGAGTATTTTTTGCGCAGTTTTCTCTTTCCGTTTTCCTATAAAACTGAATGCAGCAGTTACTCTTTGAAAAGCAAATGCGACTAATTAATTGACCAATATTCTGATGATAATAGTTGTTATAAAAAATTTTGTTAAGTAAAATTTGTATAACGTAACTTATACATACGTACGTTATATAAATTTTGAAATTAGTTTAATAAACTTCATTTATTTACTTATAACAAATTTGCGGTTATATATAGATACATATATATGTATGGTATATGAAGTGGAATTTTTAAATGGATTTCCTTCCTTATGTGTGTACACATGTATGTAAGTGAGTGTATGTGCGTTGTATATGAAACTTCCTGTACACAGTAGAGCTAATGAAAACTGTTTACTTACAACTGCTCTTTCAATGATATACGATTCTCTTGCAAAATTGTCTTGCAGGCAAGCCAAAGAGAAATAGAATGAGCGCGGGAAAGAGAGCGAAAACAAGAGAGAGAGTGAGAGAGAGAGCGAGAGAGCGAGAGAGAGTGTTCTTAAAGTTCCTATTGGCACGCTTAGTGGTGAACTAAGGTTTAGAGAGGACAAGAGTACAATCTATTAAAGTCCTATTGAGCACTGCACGATGAAAGCAATTGAAGCATTAAATATTTGTATAAAACTCTCTTAAATCTAAAAAAATCGCTTAAAGGAAATGAAATCACTTATAAGAAGAAAGTTTTCGGTTTTACCGTTTCGTTAATTAGATATGTTATTCATTCAATTCATACAACCACCACTACACGTACAATTAATATAAGAAGTAATATGATTATCAAATTTTTATAAATTTTTCATTCTATTTCTCTGTCTATTTTCGCTAGCACCAACTAACTAGCAAAAAAAATACTGGTTAATATTTCAGTAATCTCTTCATACGTATGCCCAAGAGATTTGGTCGTGTTCGTCATAATGGTGGAGTGGTAGAATCGAGTACTAATGTCTCTTCACTGCTTTTTATTATTTTATGCAGACTTTACTTACGCTTATTGCCGTACATATTTGTTGTTGTTGTTGTTGGTTTTCCTGTTATTGTTGTTCCTACACCATTTAATGTTGTGTATGCTCTCTATCTCTCTCGTCTTCGTGTTCTTTATTTTTAATAATATTTTTTTTTTTTTTTTTTTTACCTCTACGTTTTCAACACTACCATATTGTGCTTTTCTTGTTATTGTTGTAGTTTCTGTTTTAGTCAGAATATATTCATCGTTCGTCTGACTACACATGTATGGCTTTTTCTTGTTGGTTTCGTATGTTTATTCTGCAATTCATATTGGAGCACCTCACATATACGGCGAAGGCATTTATAACCCCACTAGCATTGTAAGTGTATAGTAAAATCGAAATTTACGTACATAAGTACGTACGAGACGAGAATGCAACCAACCAACTACTATTGCGACTATACTACATTGTTGTGCAATATGTACGTTTGAGCGTTTATATATATGTATTCTCTGCTAAATAATAATGTATTTGTGTGCGACACGAACTCTATACATATGCATGCACATAAGTGTTGTATTTTGTACTTGCTTGCCGAACATTCAGAAGAACGTTCTTTTAACCAGCCATAGGCAAACAGTCAGTCTAATAGCGACAATCTATATGAACGGTTGAACGGTCGCGCTTTTACGCTATTAAATCAATTTCCCGCTGCTATATATTTTTTAAATACACACAAAAAAAATATTATCAAAAAAAAAAAAAAAAAAAACAAAAAAAACAAAAAAAAACCAGTTAATAGAAAGAATGCATTACGTTATCGCCTGCCTACCTTTTAAATTATCAACATATGCCTAAACAATTACACGTACAAACGCCATATGCCATACGCGAAACTTGCTCTAATGTGGTGTAATTGCTAAACATATTGTTAAAAAGTCTTCTTTCGGTATATATATATATATATATATATATATATAGTTTCTTCTTCGGTTCTCAAAGCTAAATGTAACTCGCGAGCAGCTTCAATCATACGTTGCATGTGAAAAAATATTAATTTTTTTTTATAATATCAGTAACAACAACAACAACAACAACGACTACCAATTATTTGGAACGTTTTTTCGGGTATTTATAAATTGTTTCATATATATATATATATATATATAAATATAAACATATATATACAATACATGTATCTATACACATATAAATGTGTATATATTTATATGTATATATATATATATCTATATATATAAATAAAAGTGTGTGTATATATGTATGTATATTATCAAAAGTATGCGTGTGCGATCGTTATTTGTGGTGTTGTGTGCGTCTGCCGTTTGTGCCGGTTTATTAAAGTTTTAGCGTTTCAGCGTAAGATAGAAAGAAAAACCAATCTAAAGAAAATAACGAACAAACATTTACGTTTTATATGTCATCACTGATTAAACGATTAAACCTCGCTTCGTGGTAACAAACTAATTCCGAAATATTTGAACAAGTTAATTGAAGTGTGTAAAAAGCAAAACATCAAACTCTTTAACCTTTCCCTTCCGCCGTATGCATACACCGATATTATGAGCCATTCATTTATTCATTTATTTATTCACCCACTTACTTGCTCACTCTCCAACGCTTTCCAAGCGAAATAAAAACCAAACAAGTTATATAAAACTGTTAAAAACAAAATCCTGTTATTAAGTGGCTTACTTTAATGATCCCTTTCTCTCACTCTCTCACGCATTCACCTATTAAAGCTATTAATTCTCATCATACCTCTCTCTATCTTTCTATCTCTCTCTCTCTTTCTCTCTCTCTCTCTTACATTCTCTATTTCTCGCTCTTTCTCTTTCTCTCTCTCGTCCCTTGCCCGAACTCATTCGCATGTACTTTCACACCAGTATGTGTTTGTATTTGTACGTTTGTTCATTTCGGCATTTTGAGTTGTCTAATTAAATTAGTCTTTACAGACTTGCGTGTGTGTGTGTGCGCCTGTATGTGTATTTAGACTGTAATTGAGAGCAAAATATAGAAACAAAAAAAAAAAAAAGAAAACAGAAAATATACAAAAATATGAATAGGAAAACATTCTTAAAATGAAATCAAAATATTTATATCCGGGCGTTATTAAAAATAAAAAAATATATCTGAATATGTATAAAAATCTCGAAACAAATGAAAAGTGTGGTGGAACTAGAAAAATCTATAAGCACAGAGTAGCGTTGACTTTGTAAAATACACACATATACACACACACACACACACACACACATACTTCAACTATGGCTGTTTAGCATGTGTGTGTGTGTGTGTGTGTGTGTGTGTGTGTGTGTGTATGCTCATAGATTGTTGTCTGCATATATAGAGATAGATTTTCTCCGTAAGAATTATTAGAAAATTTTTTTGAAATATTTTTAGAATGAAAACAAAAAACAAAAAAAAAAAAAACAAAAAAGAAAAAAGCCGAAAAGAATAAAGAAAAATATAACAACTTTGTATAGCATTATGTGTAGAACATTTTACCAAACGTTTTACACATGACAAAGATGAATTTCCCATCTTTCCATTCATTACGTATTAGTTTAGAAGCCCTAAAGCATTCTTTACTTCCCATTTTATAACCGAGTCATTACGATGATCTCACGACAGATATTCGAGCATATATTTAAGTTTAAAACGATTCATAGTTAAACTAATCCTTAAAAACTAATCGTATAACCGTTTTTAGATTTTTCGCAAAAATGAAAAGAGTGAGAGTGAGCTTTATGTCGCCTACCTTAGGCTAATAGTGTGATGTGATCCTGGCCATGTTTAATAAAAAGCAAGCAATTAATAAAATTTCAGTTTTATTCGATTGTCTGTTCGATCATCGATAGCATTCGACATTTCTATCTTCATGAAATTTTTGAGTTCATTATTAATTGGCAATGCGGGCGGTTCATTTGGGAACGAGTTCGTCGTAGGCAAAAAGCTTTTTGTATAGGTTTTCATAGACTTAAGCGATATTTTCGAAAATGTCACACTTTCGCTGCACAAGTTTAGTATTTTTAAGAGTAAAATTATTTATGCATTTATACACATATATATATATATGTACATATGTCAGAGTACAGTCACATATGGACGGTTTCCTGAGTACAAGCCCTTAAAAAAGATGCAAATTAAAGGGTAATTGAATATTTCCGTAAAGCAGGAGATACAACGTTACTTGAATTGCACTGGATTCTTCAACACGTTGAGACATTGGCTTCGCTCGATCTTCAAACTCTTTAGCTAAGCGACAAATTTTGTAAGCTTTCACGACATTTTATAAGACAGTCAAAGGAAAAAACGATAGAACGAAGGAGTTTGTGACCTTTTTAAATGCACTTAATTCACTCCACGCTTGCAAAGAATTTTTGACAAAAGTATACCGCTTTCCATGAAAGCTTCTTACTTAATTCAATAGTTTTTCATAATAGTGTCAATGCTTGCACACTCGACAGCTACACTGTCAAAATCCATGACAAGGGCTGTTTTTGAGACGGATAGGTCTATTTTGAAATTTTTTACTCCAATTTAATTTCTAATTGGAAAACGTTTACAAAGACAAAAGATTTCCCTCGGACAGTGATACGATAATAAAATTAATAAAATCCTTTTTGTAGCGAATACAAAATACGATCCGCCAGTATTCGTTATCTTTCAAATCCTAACTGCATGGCAAAGTGTTAATTATGAAAAAAACAAAATTCAGAAAATCCTAAAGTACTTGCGAAACCCTCTCTTCAATTTTCCTTTTTTTCCTGTACGGTATAATACGTTCAAAAATATTAGAAAAATGGAAAATAAATTTTTTTTAGCAGATGTTCTCCGTAAATCGAGATGGATTAGTTTCTTCGCTAAATTTATTTCCTTCAAAAAGTGTTCTTTCTGGAAAATGTGTATCTGCCTGGGTCGTCGCCAAACCTCTCTTTTGAGAAAGTGAAAGTTGCCTTTAACAATGTATATGCTTTTAATGTTAAAAGATCAGTTTAGATAGTGCCCACAGTCCATCCGCAAACAGACGCTCAATACTTCAGTTATTTAAATCGCTTTGAAATTTTTTTATTTTTTTTATTTTTATAAATTTCAACTTAATAAATATTTGAACTGGAAGAGTTTTCTTAGAACCAGACAAAGCTTTGTATTGGCAAAAAAAAAAAAAAAAGAAGAAGATTATTTATTAATATCGAAGGACATTGTGGTATAAACTTTCGTTACAAATAAATCCATAAATTTATCGATTCCTTAAGCTTGAATGAACAGAATTTAATGCTCTATTCCTAAAACCCGATTAAATCCAGATTCTTCTTATCACTCATACTACATACTAGCGTCATCACACGGCCGAAATATTTAAATCGATTAATATGGAATTTTATTCGGATGTGATCTTAAAGCAAACAATTTAAAACGATTTTAGCTCCTCCTTAATGGAAATTAAGAAAAAATCTTCTTAAAAAACTAAAATCTAAATAATTAAAATTTGAAAAATATTTAAAAAAAAATTAAAAAATATTTTGAAACAAAAACTTTCTTGAAAAAAAAATTATTTTCATGAAGCTGCATGCTATGTCATCGTACTCGTCAAGATTGCTGTTAAAATCAAAGTGAGTGAAAATCGAAAAAAAATTTCTTATTATTTATAATAATTTATTAGTTTGCTTTCAACAATACTTAGCCAAAGAAAGAAAGAATTGAACTACCAGAGATATACAATGGTTATCTGATCGCGTCTATGTACTGATGTTTTATTTTGATTATTAGTTGTCTAAGAGCTTGAAAATTTAAGTCTTTTCATTGTTAGCCAACCAAGTAAGAGGTTGTTGTCAATTTTACTTACTTGAAAAATGCCAGGGTAAACTTAGATATAAGAATAAAATGTCGGCCTTTTATTTATAGAGGAGAGGAGATGGAATTTAGTTTGGAGCCGGTTAAGTTAATATTTGATTTTTCATAGGAATATACACTTATACAAAGGCCTTAGTTGTTGCTACGTTCTTTCTTAGCTTTTATTTTTGTTAGCTTTCGAGATTCGACGTGCGATTAGTGCTGTAACTTTTTAGAAACTGTAGCAAGTTTTGCCATTAATACGCAATTTTCCCTTTTTTTTTTTTGCTACTTAAGTATGTGGCAAACTTACTTATAGCATTTACGTCTCGCAACCTTAGAAAAATAAAAATATTTCAGTTTCAGTTTAATTATTAAGATTGCTTTGATCTCTCTTCTTCAAGGAGATAACTACCAACTATTATATACCCTACATCACTTGGTTTTATCTAGATTTTTTTATCTTGGTTAATCCTAGAAAGGCTTTTTAAACTGAAGTATTTTTTGATAAGCAGCCGATCCGAACCATTTTCAATGCCGTTCGTGCTTGGACAAAGACATGTCGGCATACCAAATTTCGTCCAAATATCCCCAAAATTGAATACACAAAGACAAGATGGTCAGCCCGACAGACGTGCAGACTTTGATCGATTCAAAATTACTTTCTCAATAAATGATAATGGGTGACGAAGAATTTTCTTCTTTTTTGGAGGAAAGCCTTTGAATTCTTTCTTGGAATCTCGTCTTTTACGACCTCAATAAAATCAAGTAGTTTTTCCCTACTTGGTTATTTGAATATACAAAAGGAAAGAGTCTCTTACCAGTCGTTGCCCGGCAGATATTAAAACCAAAACTTCGAAAGCAGAGGATGTTTTGGATATAATATAACCCTAAGTTTCCTCATAATAATTTATAGTAGGAGCAGAGAGAGGAGCATCAGGTATAAGGCATAATAACATCTAAATCTTTTTGTTTTGGGTATAATATAACCCTAAGTTTCCTCATAATAATTTATAGTAGGAGCAGAGAGAGGAGCATCAGGTATAAGGCATAATAACATCTGAATCTTTTTGTTTTTGGTATACTATTACCCTAAGGTTCCTCGTAATGATTTATAGTAGGAGTAGAGAGTGGGGCATAACTACTAGCCGTCAACCGTCTCAGCTCTCTTTAGATGCTTTGTAGCAAAGATTAAGTTAAATTAATACTCATTCAGCTCAAGCATTCAAACCAAGTCGAGTATATAGGAAGGCAAAAGTCGAATCTGTTACCGGCAAAACAATCAACAAATAAGTTGATTTACACTTTCAACGAAGGGAAAAGAATCTGAAATATAAAATACGTTATTCAATTTGCGCTTTTCTTTCTTTTCTCAATAACTACTAAAGTAAATCAAACATTCAGTGAATTTGAAGTTAGAAAGCACTTTTGCGTTAATTATTGCAAGAAAAATGACTAAACAACATAGCAAATACAATCATTACGTGTGTACGTTTAACTTGTGTAAAAACTTTAACTATTGCATAACGGCATAGGTTTTTCCCGAGGAAAGCAAAAAGGAAAAAAGAAATAATTCAAAAAATTTCCTCAATTATGATAGCCGACTTACTTTTCATTTCTCTTTCTTTACAAATATATTTCGCTTCCTCTGCGCCCGGTATCTAACTAACTAACTAACTAACTAACTATCTTAAGCAGAGAGTTAAAGATCCATTAAAATCTAATAATCATAGCCAGAGACTCATATGAAAACGTTACTACTTACACTTCCTTCATTTGAAAGCGTTCGAGAGTATGCGCTGAAATTATTACCGCAGAGCTCTTTTCAACTTTTCTGCCGTAAAAAAAAAAAAGAAATGCAATAATAATCTTGAAAGTTATTTGTTTAAGTATAAGAAATCGATCTATATAAAGGTTATATAAAAAAAAAAAAGAAAAACACAAGAAAAAGCACAAGAAAATAGAAATTTTGTAAACCGCACTGCACTGCACTGCACACACACTCTCATCCGAAGCCTACAAATATTATTGCATCGAAGTATGTAAACAATAATCATATAAGGAAAAGACTAAAGTTACAACTACTCCGGGCATTATGATAACTCACCAGCAGCAGCAGCAACAGCGAGTCTACTAAGAGTTTCGTTAATAATAAAAGAAAAAGAAAAATAAATTTTTCTCTTTTTCATTTTGCCGTAATAGCACTTTTGTGTTTGCATTATATATATATATATATATATATATATATATGTAATAGGTAGGTAGGTAGGTAGGTAGGTATGACTGCTAAGCGTAAGCTTAACTTCACGTTTGTAATTTAATAACACACTAGGCGAAGAAAATCAAAAAAGTGTACAAATAACAGTAAATTGTGTAGATTGTGATGATGAACACCACACCTCTCATTCAATGTATAAACTTGATAGTTGTTTGATATTTAAATGTTAATTTGCTTTTCAGGCGCATACAATCGCTATGAGTGGGCAGACAGTGACTGTAGTATGCCGCTAACCAACTTACATTATAACGAAAAAAAAAAAAAAAATGCAAAGTTCACTAACTTAACTTAAAAGCATAACTTATAAGAGAGCGCAGCAAGAATAGAGTAAAAGGCAAATCGTTTATTTACTACGTTCCAATTATTACGATACGATTACGACAATATCAATGACTCATTATCGTTCCTTGACGCATTACTTTTTTAATGAGCCACAAGTTAAAAAGTTAGAAAGTATTTTGCATAAGTTGTCAAAAAATTTTTAGTTAATGTGTATTTTATATCATATAAGAGTACATATTATATTCCTTGCATTACATATACATAATATAGGATTTCTTAACTTATGTCTCGCATCTTGACATAGTTCCAACTTTTAATTTATTGACATAGGATTTATTCTTTATGGAAGTTTCAATCATTTGCAAGGTTTCAATCATTTAAAGTCTTCCAAAATATATATAAAAATATGTTCTTTGTCCGATATAAAGGTTTACATTTTATTTCTTATTAGCACTATTTTTCTTCGTTTACTTAACATTCGCTGTTCGCGTCATTCGCAGTGATTTCATTCGTGATGTTTGGTACGTGTTCTTTATGGTTTGCGGCCCAACTACTCAGGCTGAGCGAATTTATTTATAGTTTTCTTTATTTTGCATAGAAGCCACGTTCACATCTCATTTCATGATTACATTTTTTAGATATTTTGATTGGTTACTTTAACAGATTTTGAAGACAATTTCTGCGAGAACTAAAAAATTTATATTCAATAACGACTTCACTTCTTCTAAATTAAACGTCACTAGTTCGTCGCTAGGTTAAATATTTCAAGAATTCCTTCAGTTTTTTTTCTTTTAATTTGAAAGATTCTACCTGTTGGAATATACCCGAAGGTGATGGTATAAGATATGCTTTTAGCTTATATTCGTTGTCTTAGTTTTCGGTAACTAATCGCCAGTCTCTTGAACACATCAAATCAAGTTCAGAATTTGGTACACGCATAGCAATTAGATGCCTTGCAGGCACATATTTCATTTTTGCGGGATTTCCGCTATAATTCTCATGCTTCTTGTCACATTACTTCTTGTAATCTACGCCATTTGTGATAGGAGGGCATAGGAGGACTTGAAGTAGATCCATCTTTTATTATAGCGTTTTGTTGAAAGTTATTTTTTAAATCGATCTAAGTTTGTCTGTCCCTACGTCTGTTATGTTTCTTTGTGTTCAGCACACAAGCCGCCGTTTTCGAGATATTTTGATGAACACTGGCATGCTCTGGCCCGAGGATATACACTTTTTTGCCACTTCCCATATAACGCCTTACTTTGAAACCTCGATTTTGGATAACTGTAAGGTGAATTAGGGTATTTAATACCGGGCTTTGGCCCGCTAAAGAGCTTTTACTCGTTTTCTTTGATAAAATACAGTAATTTGACATTGTTCCCACCACTTTCTTTGGACCAGTAACTAATGGGTTTCTTTTATACATATTCCAATTCCTTTATAGAGAAATAATTTTAGTTCTTAATTAAACGGAACGTTTTTATAGCATTCGTTGGTATAAAAAAAAAAGACTTCATGAGAGTGAAGTGAGCGGCGCCTTTTGGGTACTTTAGGGACTGAAAATAGAAATATCTGAAAATATTTATAAATAGAATCATTCATGGTGCGGGGTGGTACGATCATATTTGAACTTGCTTCAATTACACTTGCGTTTCCATATATATATGGATTTGTGTATGGCAACACTTCGGGCGTTCTTTAGCAAATCAGATAAAGCGCGTTATGGATAAATGGATAAACCGTCAATTTTATATCTTTACTATATTCATATATTTAAAATCGTGGTTTTAACCGCAATTACTTTTTGGTAAACAATAGCAGCTACATTTGATAGCTATTTAGTCTTGGACAATTGGAAGATTTTGATCTCATGTCCATTTTTCGAAGTAACTGCGAGTTTCATCATCGATTACGGTTTAAGCTCTGGCTGTACAACTTCCCCTTAACAATTTCTTAAACAACATCATTCTAAATAAATAAAATGCCAAATGCATACGATATTTTCGGAAGAGAGAAAGAAATATTAGAGATAGTAGACTAATGAGTAAATATTGCAATGACCTAACATGTTTTATGTCCTATCCTGTGGCCAGCTCCTTCAAGTATTGGCTGTTTTGGATAGCTGCATATGAAAACTTTGTTATATATGGAAGATAAATATCAACGTTATGACCTCGCGACGCTAATGACATAAATCTATGCGCTACATAACCGCTGTGA